TACTCTCCTCTAGCTTCTGCTCCAACCATTCCACAGAAACTATTCTTATTTGAGGCCTTCTACTTACCAAATCCAAAGCCTGCATACTCCTGTAGATACCTGGGTACAGTAGTGGTTATCAAACCGAGGGTAGTTTTGCTCCCATTTGCCCAGGATGGGGGGTATTTAGCAATGTCTGGAGATATTTCTGGTTGTCAGAACTGAGAGGAGGGCTGCTAATAGCATCTAGTGGATAGAAACCAGGGATGCTGCTAAACAGTCTATAATGCAAAGAACAGCTTCCCATACCTCCAGGAAAGAATTATCTGGTCCAGCTCTGGTGGGTTTGGCATAGTGAATAGAGAGCATCCACCTGTGGACTGAAAGGTCCAGATTTCATTCCAGTCAAGGGCACATGCCTGGGTTGCAGACTCAATCCCCAATAGGGGACATGCAGAAGGCAGTTGATAAATGATTCTCTCTCATCATCGATGCTTCTACCTCTCTTCCCCTCTCCTTTACTCTCTGAAATCAGAGAATTATCTGGCCCCAAATGTCAATACTGCAAAGGCTGAGAAATCTTAGTGTACAGAGTGTCCTGTAGACACTTCATGCACAACATGGACATGTTAAAAGTAAATCATGCCTTGACCAGTTTGGCTCAGTGGATAGAGCGTCAGTCTGTGGGCTGAAGGGTCCCAGGTTGGATTCTGGTCAAGGGCATGTATGTATCTTGGTTGCGGGCACATCCCCAGTAGGGGGTGTGCAAGAGGCAGCTGATCGATGTTTCTCTCTCATCGATGTTTCTAACTCTCTCTCCCTCTCCTTTCCTCTCTGTAAAAAAAATCAATAAAAACATATTTAAAAAAAGTAAATCATTACCTTTTTTCCTACTTATTCACTTATGTGTTATTCCTGATTAATAGCACTTAGTTTTATAAATCAGTATCTTGAGAATCATGTTTTATTTCCATTCTCTTCCTCCTTAGGCTTATCTATTAGTCACTAATTCCCTTTTGATGCTATCTCCTAAATGTCTGTAATCTTTTCTCTTCCCTCAGTTATCATTGCCTTTGCATGAGTCTAGACATCATTTAGTTTGCAACAGTCTCCTAAACTGACTCGCGCTTTGAGTTGTGTAAATGCCTCTGACTCATTCTCCTTGAAAAATCTTTCTAAAATGGAGGGCCAATCACATTTCTCTCACTGCCTATAAATTAAAGTCTGCGCTTTTGGGTCTGGCTTCCATGTTTACCAAGTATTTTACTATCTACAAATCCTTGTTCTATTGTTTTTCTTCCTAATATCCTTTTCTCCTAATAAAAACACAAGAAAACAAAAACAAAACAAAAAGCTTGATGTTTTACACTTCTGTTTATTGGACATGATATTCTCCCTTTTGGGAATGTCCTCCCTCCCCCCCAGAGTCCTGGAAATTTTCCTCCATATTTTCTTGGGGCATTCATTATATATAATATAAACCATCCCATCTCAGCTATAAAATTCCAGTTCAAAAATAGTGCAACAAAATTATTTTACCTAGATTTTAAAAAATTGGATTTCCAGTCTATGAATTGGGAAATCTCAATAAATTCATGATGCTCTCCTCTTGTCCCTGAATTGTGGTTAAATTCTGGGGGAGCCTTCATAGTACCTGATTTTGGAGAAGATTCTCATATCTTCAGATTTTGGGGTTCTCTTCTAAGTATTTGTTTTGCTTGTAGATATACCACTTTTCTTTTTTATGGGGCCACGCTGGAGCTTGAGAATCTTTCTATGGCTTTCCCATACCACAGAATTATTCCCTCTCTGGCATCTTGCACCCTACCCCAGATTACCTGACATGCAGATACTAGGTCTTTACACAGAGCCAGGAAAATTCCTTTTTTTTTTTTTTTTTTTTTTTAACTTTTGTTAACATTATACTTATGAAACATTTCTTGTCTTGTGAAAGTTTTGCCCAGAGGCATCTACTGTGTTTCCCTGAAAATAAGACATCCTCCAAAAATAAGACCTACTTACAGGTTTCCTTCTGAGTGAAATATAAGGCATCCCCCGAAAATAAGGCCCCCTAGGCTAAACATGAGAGATTTGGTCCACTGATTCTGAAAGAAATGGAGTCACAAGAAATTCACCAGGAAATTCAGGAATTGGATTGTTATGATGAAGTTCCAGAAGATGATGACATAATTGTCATTGAATAAATGGGTAAATTCTTGATACTGTAGGATTCACAGTTTGTCTGGTTTGTGTTGACAACTACCATACTACCGTACCGTATACAGGTAATAAATTTCCTTTATTTTCATTTAACAATAAATGTGTACCGTATTCTTCTTCATGGAAAAATAAGACATCCCCTGAAAATAAGACTTAGTGCATCTTTGGGAGCAAAAATTAATATAAGACACTGCCTTATTTTCGGGGAAACAGGGTAATACATTTACTTAACATGTTGAGACTTTTAAATCTTTTTAAAAAATATATATTTTATTGATTTTTTTTTACAGAGAGGAAGGGAGAGGGATAGAGAGCTAGAAACATCAATGAGAGAGAAACATTGACCAGATGCCTCCTGTAAACCCCCCACCGGGAATGTGCTCGCAACCAATGCACATGCCCTTGACCGGAATCGAACCTGGTACCCTTCAGTCCACAGACCGACGCTCTATCCACTGAGACAAACCGGTTTTGGCACGTATTGAGACTTTTAATGGACTTAAGTGACAATAAAAACTAAAGACGCCTATATGGGTTTGGCTCAGTAGATAGAAGGTCAGGGGCATGTACCTTGGTTGTGGGTGCATCCCCAGTGGAGGGCATGCAAGAGGCAGCTGATCGATGACTCTCTTTCATTGATGTTTCTAATTCTCTATCGCTCTCCCTTCCTCTCTGTAAAAAAAAAATCAATAAAATATATATTTTTTTAAAAAAAGCTAAAGACTTTCAAATTCTTTCAGCTTAGTTCTTTCCCATCCCTACCCATAAGGGAGGGTAGAAAATAAAATGGCCAGTAGCTCCTAATCTAACAGCCCATTGGATGCACCTAAGGGCGCTTTTGAACTTGAAGATGTTCCCACCCCTAACTCTGCATAATCAATATGTTTTGTAATATTAGTTCTAGTAATAATTAATGTCGTTTCCTAATACTTTTTAAATCGAATTTATTTAAACAATACAACAAAATTTAATCAACAATATAGTTGCCGTTGTTTTCTACTACTTGTGCCCAACACTCAGGAAGCATTTTAATCCCTCTGTTGTAAAATTCTTGTGATTTTGATGCAAAAAATTCGGTCAATGCATTTTTGAGGCATTCTTCATTATTAAATTTTTTTCCAAGAAGAAAGTTTTGCAAAGAACGAAACAAATGGTAATCGGAAGGGGCAATATCAGGAGAATATGCAGGTTGAGGGAGAACTTCCCATTCCAACTGGCGCAGTTTTCAGCAGTGATTCTGGCAGTTCGATCTTGCAGTATGCGGTCGTGCGTTATCGTGGTGAAGAATTACGCCCTTCCGATTAATCAGCGCGGGTTCTTTTTCTCTTAAAGCTTGGGCTAACCTTTCCAATTGGGCACTATACACTGCACTTGTAATGGTTTGGTTAGATGGTAAAAGTTCATAATGAAGAATTCCTTTAAAATTCCACCAAACACACAACATCACTTTTTTCGCATGCAAGTCAGGTTTTGGCGTGGGCTGCGGAGCCTCATTTTTGTCCAACCATTGAGGCTGCCTTTTCAAATTAACATACAGCACCCATTCTTCATCTCCGGTAACAATTTGCTCTAAAAACGGCAAACGGTTTTGACGAGAGAGGAGCGAACTGCAAATTGTGACTCTTTGATTACGGTTGTTGTCGGTCAACTCATGAGGAACCCATTTTCCAAACTTTTGGACTTTGCCAAGTGCACGCAATTGATTGGAAATTGTTTTTTGTGAACAATTTAAAGTTGTCGCAAGCTCTTGTTGGGTAATTTGAGGATTTTGCACCAAAAGAGCTTGAAGAGCTTCTTGATCAAAATTGGACACACGGCCTCGACCACTCTTGTCATCTAACGAAAAATTTCCCTCGCGAAATTTCTCAAACCAACGCTGGCATTTTCTGGCGCTAACTGCATCTTGACCAAGAGCACTACAGATGTTTTTTGCAGCCTCACTTGCTTTTCTTCCTAATTGGAACTCGTAAAGCATGCAGTGCCGAATATGCTCTTCATCCGCAATCTTCTTAGCCCTAGTTTTGCAACAAAAACCAAACCAAACACAAACTTTTTCAAGCAAAACTTGTTAATTGCACTTCACACGTTCTGTAGATACCACGTGTTTGAAGGTTATGTCAATACAAGTCAACGCCAAGCAAGATTTTAAACGAATGTTAAAAAACGACATTAATTATTACTAGACCCGATATGATCACAGGAAAGCAAGCTCGAATATCATGAGTCTCTCATTGGTGGGCCGGGGCAGGACTCGCTCAGTCTCCAACATTTTTTTTCATTAAGTATGCCAGGCCTCCTTCCTAGCAGGGTCTCTCTTCTCTTAGTTCTCCCTCTCCCGCCCTGCTCCACCTCCCACCCCGCCCCTGTCCATCTCCCAGCCCCGCCCCTCTCTCCGCCGCGGCCCACCTCCCACCCCGCCCCCTCCACCTCCCACCCCGCCCCTGTCCATCTCCCAGCCCCACCCCTCTCCCTCCGCGCTCCACCTCCCACCCCTCCCCTGTCCATCTCCCAGCCCCGCCCCTGTCCATCTCCCAGCCCCGCCCCTCTCCCGCCGCGCTCCACCTCCAAGCCCCGCCCCTCCCCGCCCTCTCTACCTCACCGGTATTCCTCTTGTCTCCTAGCCTTGCTTCACCTCCAAGCTCCGCCCCTGTTCACCTCCCAGCCCCGCCCCTTCACTTCTCGCCCCAACTCCCAGCCCAGCCACTCACCTCCCGCCCTGCTCCACCTCCAAGCCCCGCCCCTCCACTTCCAAGCCCCGCCCCCGCTCCCACCTCCCAGCTGCTTCCCCCTCCTCTCCGGTCACTCCACCTCCCAGCAGCTCCCCCGTGCTCCTGGCCTCCTCTCCTTCCCTGCCCTCCTGTAGGTCCCCTCCGTCCTCCCCTCCGCGTGTCTCCTCAGGGTCCCGAGGCTCTGCTATCCGCTGCTTCCGTCGTCACAGTGGTTACGCCATCTCTGCGCCGGAAGGAGAACCCGCCAACCGTTTTGGAATTATGGCGGCGGTGGATATCCGAGGTAATCTGGGCTGTCAGCCTTCGCTTCTTGCCGGCCTGGGGTCTGGTTTGGGGCTTTCTAGCTTGCTGGGCGGGGCTCAGGCTCCTTTGCGATGTCTCCAAGCGCTTTCTGTGGACGACTCAAAGCTTCCGTCTGGCGAAAAAGAGCCTAGTTTCCCCCCTCCGCCCCCTGTTTCGCGGGGTCTCTTTAGAAATGTCGAAACCAAGGGATTGGGGAAGGCTGTTTTGAGCCCTCAAACCCGCAGTGTTGTTTCACACACATATTTCTACAGTAAATGTTGGGGCTGCCTGGTGAAGGGATGGCAGAGCGGGAGGTGGGGTGATGAACAGACGGGACTTGGTTCACCTCCTGGGACTTGGCGTCGTGGCTGCTTTATTTCTGACATCGCGCGCTTTGCGTCCCTGAGCCTGGACCCCTAAGGTTTTTTGTTTGTTTTGAAAATTTGTACAGTGTTCTTTAATGAGGTAACATAATCCTTTGAGTACACAATAGAAGGAAACTGAAAATACTGCCAGAGCTGTGAATAATTCCAACTATCCACCCTCCCTACCTCCATCCCCCACCCCCCCGGGTAGTTTTGAATGATACCTTCTGTCACCCATCTTCTTTGGAGTAGTAGCCTCGTTACTCATTCTTCATAAACAAGCTCTACCTTGGATCAGGCCATTTTACTGGCTGTTCTCCCATCCTGCAATGACCCCTAAGATTTTCTTGTTTTGTTTTTGAGCCCGCAGTTCCTCCCATCAAACACCCAACAGTGACCGAGGGGTCGTTTCTTTTTTGACAGCTGAACTGTAAAGGCACTAAAATATTTGTCGAGCCAGTGACTAAGTTTATGGAGGCGCATTGCCTGCATTGCCTTCATCGCTGCTTGATCTCGGGGGGCATTTAAGCTATACACCCTCTTCTCAGCCCACCCTACACACATCCGTTTCAGTGAATTTGAAAACCAAACCAAATCAAACCAACAAACAAAAGCCTAGAGTTGTGCTCTGGTATTCCAAGGAGGGAACCAACCGGAAGGGCGATTAAAAAAAAAAAAAAAACAGCTGAAGCGTGAGAACCGATATGATGAACCATCTTAATAGTCTCTACTGATTATTTCATCATTAACATATTCATATATTTATTTCCTTTATAATGCACACAGCACATTTTACCTTTATACACTTACTTTTTCTCAATTTATTTTGCTCAGAATTGCTTGTCACTTTGGGTTAGGGCTGACTTCTTCAAAGATGCCAGAAGCAATTATAGTATAGAAAGGTTGAGGTTTTTAATACTTCCTTCTTCAACTAATATTATATAGGCATTTTGATGTTCATGACTCACACCTAGTGGTATTTAGTATAGTTAGTGTTGTGAAACATCATTGCATCCATTAGCTAATAAAAGATCATTAATTAAAGGTGTCTAGCTCTATTTTACCATGTCTTTTTTTTTCTTTGTGCATTTTGAAAATTTTCAAACTTAATTCTATTCTAAAATATGAAATTGTATGATTTATAATTAAGGGCATTGTACTTCTCATTTGCTCTTTAACTTTTGTATCATCTCATCTATAATAATAACTTCCTAATTTATTTCTTGGTCCCTAATTGGGATGTTACAAACTGGTGGCTCTGGATGTGTTTTCTCTGGCATGAATGTTGTTTGAAAACTTTTAAATTAATTGCCAACATATAAAAACTTAGGCTTTCTAATTTTTTGAAACATCTCTTTAAATTTCAAGTTTTATATTTCTCCATCTAATCAAATTATCCTTGAAACATAATATATTTTTATATTTTCCCGTCTTTTATATGCATTCTCTCTGCTTAGAATTGCTTTGCTCCTCTTTTCCAGCTTGACCCTCTATTTATTCTTTAACATACTAGGGGCCCAGTGCACGAATTTGTGCACTTTGAAAGGAACTGTGGGTCTTGAGGCTGTGGTGGGCACAGGGGTGGGTCTCGATCCATCCTCCATGACTCTACTTGGCCCCTCCTGTGATGGTCCCCAGTCCCCTGTCTGCCGGCAGCCTTGCTTCCACTGCCATTGCCATGGCTCCCACACGCTGATGGTGCTGGCCCTGCACACACTCAATGATGGCATGGAGTGATTGGGGCTGGTGCCAGCAGCGGGTGCAAGTGGAGCCAGCGCCGTCAGTGGGTGCAAGCTGCGGCTGCTGCTCCAATTGCCCCTCAGGAGCAAGGGGAGGTGTAGAAGCCCTCAAGGGCAATTGGGTCCGGCAGCTGCCACTTGCACCCACTGACGGTGTTGAGTGATCACAACTAGCGCTGGGTGCCAGTAGCAGGTGTGAGCAGGGCTGGCGCCAGCAGCAGGTGTGAGCACCAGGCAGGTGTGAACACTGGTTGGGACCACTGGACCACAGCGCACAGGAGCAAAGAATTTTCAGAGGCTTGCCCCAATGATAGCAACTGACACCCTGCCTTGACCTCATGCTCCTGCTCCACAATCTTGCTGTGGTTTATGCCCACCATGTTCTGCTCTCTGCTGCTTGCTGCTGATGCCTGCCATGTTCCACGTGCTCCATCTGGTGGTCAGCGCATATCATAGCAACCAGTTGTTCGGTTCCACCATTTGGTCTATTTGCATGTTAGCCTTTTATTATATAGGATAGGATAGCGCTAAAACCCTCACCCTATAAAAAATCATTCCAGTTTCCTCAGGTAAAGTACTTTGCTCCCTCCACTGTGCTCTCATAAAACATTTATTCATACTTTTATTATAGCACTTGAGTTGTTATTGATTTCTTGTGTACTAGTCTCTTCTGTTAGACTGTGAGAGTATGTAAATTAGGTTTCATGTCTTCCTTCTATTTATAGTGCCTACAACATGAGATATATTTGTAAGATTAGATTTTTTTCTCTTTTCTAATCTTTTATTGTTTTGTTTCTTTCTTATAGATAATCTACTCGGAATCTCTTGGGTTGACAGTACATGGATCCCCATTTTGAACAGTGGAAGTGTCCTAGATTACTTTTCAGAAAGAAGTAATCCTTTTTATGACAGAACGTGTAATAATGAAGTGGTCAAAATGCAGAGACTAACATTAGAACACTTAAAGTAAGTTATTATAAAAAAATAGCATCTTTGCCATTTAGAGATTCTGCAGTGAACGATTCTTTCAAGCTGTGGATCATGAAGTACAGAGTAGAAGTTTTGAAAGTCTTGAGTTTGTTTGGGTTCATAACAAATTTTGATTGGCAAAGGAATTATTAGTAGTCATTGGTTGCTTAGGAAGTTTTTTCTGTAATAACTTTGTATATGGTATTACTGTCCAATTAAAATATAGCTGTGAGGTTTAAATGTAGATCTGAGCAATGCAACTGTTATTCTCAATCTAGTAACTATATTTTTGTCTCCTCTACATGTACTTTAGTGTCTTTAGTAGGTTTATAGTAGATTTATCTTTGTATGACAAAGAAAAAATTTTAGCTAAACTTAACAAAGCAAGATTCTTCAGACTTAGGACGTTAAGAATTTATTACTGTTATAAAAGTTTCTGAAACAAAGTGGTTTCTTTTTAATCTATCAGCTAAACATTAGGAAGAATTCATGAAATTAAATTTCTGAGGTATTTTAAATAATTTTTTATATGAGACAAATATTTATAACTATTAAGACAACTTACTGTTTTAAACATAGTCTGCCAGATAAAAAAATGCAGTGGGGCAAGAATAAGGTTTTTGATATTTTCTAGTTGGGTAGAATATATAGTTGACATATACAGTCAAGACATGAATAGTCTTCATCATGGATACTTTTATATTTTATATATATTTATAGATCTCCCAGATCAAGAAGCATCATGGTATTTTGGTTGCCATATATATATATATATATATATATATTTTTTTTTTTAAATTTCAGAGAGGAAGGGAGAGGGGGAGAGAGATAGAAACATCAATGATGAGAGAGAACCATTGATCATCTGCCTCCTGCACACCCCACACTGGGGATTGAGTTTGCAACCTGGGCATGTGCCATGACCGGGAATCGAATCATGACTTCTTGGTTCATAGGTTGACACTCAACCACTGAGTCACTGCGGCTGGGCTTGGTTGCCTTTTTTGAAACATGCTCTTCAGTATACTTTTATGATGAAAATTTAAGTTCATCATGAAATTTTATAAATAAATTAGAGACCTGGTGCATGAAATTCGTGCATGAGGGGCTGTGTGTCCCTCAGCCCAGCCTGCACCCTCTCCAATCTGGGACCCCTTGAGGGATGTGCGACTGCCTGTTTAGGCTCATCGGGCCTAAAGGGACAGTTGGATATCCCTCTCACAATCTAGGATTGCTGGCTCCCAACTGCATGCCTCCCTACCTTCCTGATTGCCCCTAACCACTTCTGCCTGGCAGCCTGATCACCCCATAACCATTCCCCTGCCAGCCTGATTGATGCTTAACTGCTCCCTTGCCAGCCTGATTGATGCTTAACTGCTCCCCTGCCCGCCTGTTTGCTCCCAACAGCCCTCCCCTGCAGGCCTGGTCTCCCCTAGTTGCTCTCCCCTGCAGGCTTGATCACCCCAACTGCCCTCCCTTGCAGGCCTGGTCCCATCAACTGCTCTCCCCTGCAGGTCTGGGTCCCCCCGCAACTGCCCTTCCCTGCAGGCCCTCCTCTGTTGGCCTGGTCACCCCTAACTGCCTTTGTCTGCAGGCCTGGTTGCCCCTAACTTCCCTACTTTCCCAGCCTGGTCACCTAACTGCCCTCCCCTGCATGTTTGATCGCCCCCAACCATCCTCCCTTGCAGGCCTGGTCCCTCCTAGCTGCCCTTCCCTGCTGGCCATCTTGTGGTGGCCATCTTGTATCCACATGGAGGCAGCCATCTTTGATCACATGGGTAGCCATCTTGTGTGTTGGGGGTGACAGTCAATTTGCATATTACTCTTTTATTAGATAGGATTTTGTTGTTTAAAAACCAGATCTTTATCTGTATTTGACTACCTCGGAAAATAGCCAGTTTTATTAAACAGCCAGGTTTTAATATCAAACACAGGCAGTTTTAATTCTACTTACAGTGTTGTTATACTTTTATATAATAATTTGAATGTTCTACAGAATTGTTTATAGGTCATTCATAGATCTCTGGATGTCTGTGTTCTATTTTCATTCAGTCAGATGGTCGGAGTGGAATACATCCTTTTACATGCTCAAGAGCCCATTCTTTTTATCATTCGGAAGCAACAGCGGCAGTCCCCTACCCAAGGTAAAATGTGTAAACTTCAGGCATTTTTTTTCTTAAAATACATGATTTATTTACTTTCTGAGCTATCCAGATGTTTGTGTGTGTGTGTGTGTGTGTGTGTGTGTGTGTGTGTTTTTTGTTTTTTTTTTTTTTTTGTTTTCTTGGGTTCTCTTTTGGGCATCCCCAAGCCAATATATATGTTCAATGTTTTACTAGGGGGACTCAGCATATAGTTAGTCATGCGTAAGTTTTGTTAAGGCAACACAGTAAGACTCCCCAGCCAGATCAATAAGTTAGAAAGCCATATCAAGTGGGCTCTGTCCAGGTATAAGCTTTCTATACTTTCCCCTCTGTGAGGGGCTACACCAAGTATACCCTCCAGCAGTGAAATGCAGCCACATGTATTTGTCTGTTCAGGAACTTGTTAGAAATGCACTATGCCTACTGATTAAGAATCTGATTTGAACAGGATATTTAGGTGATTTACTGCTCTAGGGCAAGAGTGGACACGAGGGCTAATCACGTAGACTTCTTATGCCTGCTAAAATTACAGAGCCTTAGCAGGATATCATATTTTTCGTACAAATTGTCTATTCAGGCTGGTATAGCAGACATAGCTTTATCACTTAGGAAACATTTTAAAAGGAGTTCCACTAGTCACATGCTTGGACACTAGGAGTCTCCCGGCATGCCCAGCGACAGCTCTACAAGCACTAATAGAGCATCTCGCTATATAGAAACCACGTCTTCTTGTCAGCACAGTGTTGGCATTCCAACTGAACCTCGATCATTCCAAGTAACTTCCTTTTCATCTCAGACCACTGAGTCTAATTCTGTTAGAAAATACATGGTAGGTGTAGTTTTATCAAATTCTTAGGTGGTCAGTTGAAAATCCTCATTGACACATTCAACCACAAGTCTTACCTGGTTTATCTAACCAAACAAAAACTTGCGTTAGAAATCACACTGAAGAGTATAGAATGCAGATTTGATTTTGAATCACAGCGTTAGTCACTTACTTCCAAAGGTGACCAGCACATCCCCAATTTTTAAAATCCCTCATAAAGACATTTAGTAACAGCTTTGGTATTAATTCCAGAGAGTGACTTGTTAAAGGAGTTCTAGAATCAAGAACTTAAATTTAGTTAAAAAAATCTAGAGCTTTTGTACAGAGAAAAAGAGAACCTTAGCCCTGGCCAGTGTGACTTAGTGGGTTGGGACATCCTTCTATACACTGATAGGTTGTGGATTAGATTCCTGGTCAGAGCACATACGTAGGTGATGGGTTTGATCCTGGTTGGGATGTGTACAGGAGGCAACCAATTGATGTTTCTCTCTCCCTTCCCCTCTCTAAAATCAATGAAAATATCCTCAGGTGAGGATTTTTTAAAAAGAGAACCTTAGAACAAAGGCAAGACCACGGATAAGAGTTCCATGGTGAGAGGGTTCAAGGTATAGAAGCTCTACAGGATAGCACCAATCTCCCTAGCAGCTGTTTTATTCTTTCGGATTCAGGATGGGAGGGAGCACAGAGGCAAGCTCAGCACATCTGTTACCTTTACCCTAGGCTGTAAATCTCTTGGCTGTAAGGTCTTATTCCACAAAGTGTGGTTGACTGACAGCAGCATTGGATCACTTGGGAACTTGTTAGAAATGCACTATGCCTACTGATTAAGAATCTGATTTTAATAGGATACTCAGGTGATTTACTGCTCTAGGGCAAGAATGGACAAAATTTTTTTCTGTGAAGGTCCACAGTAAATGTTTTAGACTTTGTGGGGCTCATAGTCTCTGTGACAACTACTCACCTAGCAGCTGTAGATAATAATGTAAATGAATGGGTATGGCTGTTTTATAATAAAATTTTATTTACAAAAACAGGACATTTAAAAAAATATATTTTTTATTGATTTCAGAGAGGAAGAGAGAGAGAGAGAGAGGAAGAGAGATAGAAACATCAGTGATGAGAGAAAATCACTGATCAGCTGCCTTCTGCATGCCAGGCCCTGCCTTAAGTGTTAATATGAGAAAATGTCAAATTTTAGTTTTTCTTTTTATGGAAATCTATTTAGTAGTTTGTGTACATAGCTGTATTCATAAATTTTTTTTCCCCTTCTGCTTTAGTTATCCCACTGGCTGATTACTATATCATTGCTGGAGTGATCTACCAGGCACCAGACTTGGGATCAGTTATAAACTCTAGAGTGGTAAGTGTCTTCACATTATTTAAACACTAAAAACATTTACTTGAGCCACCTTGCTTTCAAGAACCAAACAGAGACCCTTGTGTAAGTTAGTATAAAGTGTTGGGTATTAAAATGTTTTGAGCATTATTAATGAGAAATTGGGAATTCATTTTCTTTTTACTAGCTCACTGCGGTGCATGGCATTCAGTCCGCTTTTGATGAAGCGATGTCATACTGTCGATATCATCCTTCCAAAGGGTATTGGTGGCACTTCAAAGATCATGAAGAGCAAGGTAGGTAGGACACCTGGATCTTATGAAAACATTTTCTGATATCTGAGAATGAATCTGTTTTCTTCAGGTAAACAGCTATTGATGATTTATAGGTGTGTTTTACTTCCCCTTAGGAAAATTCTTCATAGGATTATCACCTTGTCACAGCTACTATTTATATAAATAGATGTGGTAATAATAGCTTTCTCATAGGAACAGATATACATTTCAACCTGTTTAGGTAAATGATAATCTTTGATAAGTGGATTCAAGTTTTTTAAATATTTGGAGCATGCAGAGAAAATCAATAATGAGGACTGAGTTATGATGAAATTTCTTGCTTACCTAACTGTAGAGTCATCTTGAAATCAGGAACTGGAATCTCCCAGGCTTAAAACTAGGGGAGATGCTCTTAGAGCCTTATTCCCAGGTGATCAGTCTTTTTATTTTTCCATGTTATCACTTGTAATGCCAGGTTCCCCAATTTCCATAACTGTGCATCTGCTACTCGTGCTATACCATATTTTACCAATAAGTACTAGAAGTGTGTCTATAGCAGAATACCTATCGTCTGTATTTCCTCCTCCGAGAAATAGCAATTCAGCATTAATTACTAACAGAAAAGTAGCCTTTAAGTAGAATTCAGGCTTGTGGCTTGAATGGTCTCTCAGATACAGTTATATTTATTCTTTTAAAAATATATATATTTTTATTGATTTCAGAGAGGAAGGGAGAGGGAGAGAGAGACAGAAACATCAATGATGAGAGAGAATCATTGATTGGCTGCCTCCTGCACACACTCCACTGGGGATCGAGCCTGCCCTGACTGGGAATCGAACCGGTGACCTCTTGGTTCCTGGATTGATGCTCAACTGCTGAGCTACACCCAGCTGGGCTATATTTATTCTTAATTGTTGTTGCAGGCTGCAACATCAGATGTAGGAAAGTTTACATCAGTTAAATAAACTCCTAAGAGCTCTCTGCCCCTACCCTAATGAAATGTTTAGAATGAAACTTATCTGGTCTCTTCATTTAGAGACCACCCCCCAATATATATCCTGTCCCAGGGAAATTCTATGTAATTAATTTAAGAATTTCTCTTATAAGTTCTTTCTTGTCTTGAGGACCTTCTGTTTGGTTTGTCCTGTTTTCTTTTTTTTCTTCTTTTTTTTAATGATTTCAAACAAATAATCTGGATTGTGATTTTGGTAATTATGGAAAACTTTAGCTTTAAAATTCTTTTTTCTACCCATGCTTATATACTAATTTTTTTCCATTATTTGCATTCAATACTATTTTGTATTAGTTTCAGGTGTATAGCATACTAGTTAGACAATCATATAGTTGACAAAGTTAAAACTAAAGTATCTTTAAAAGACATCAGCTTTTTGTTATTTATTTATTTTTAAAATACTTTTATTGATTTTTAGAGAGAGAGGAAAGGAGTCTGTGAGGGAGAGAGAAAGTGGGGGGGAGAGAGAGAGAAGGAGAGAGAGACATCATGTGAGAGAGAAATGTCAGTCAGCTGTCTCCTTCACACCCTTGTCAGGGATTGTGCCCTGACCAGGAATTGAACCAGTGCACTGATCAATGCTCCATTCAACTGAGCCACACCAGCCAGGGTAACATCAACTTTTTAAATGCTAGAATGTTAAGTTCATTTAAGAGGCAGAGTTAGAATACTTCTGTGTATATGCTCAGTTTAACTTATTTGGGAGATTATATTTTAACTAGCAGCCGTAAAAAATAATGAAGCTTGAATATATTCATGATGGATAAAAATTTGTGAAATAAAGAACACCAAACTAGGCAATATTTTGATTTGGACTTCATATTTTAACAGAAAAAGTTAAACCTAAAACCAAAAGGAAAGAAGAACCAAGCTCTATTTTCCAGAGGCAACGTGTGGATGCTTTACTCCTAGACCTCAGACAAAAATTTCCACCCAAATTTGTGCAGGTAATGAGAACATGTGTGGTAAATTTAATACTATTTCCTGGCATTTTTAAAAAGTTATTTTTATTGATTTTTAGAGAGTAAGAGAAAGATGAAAGGGGGCGGGTGGAGAGAAAAATATCAATTTGCTGTCCCACTTATTTATGCATTTATTGGCTGCTTCCTGTATGTGCCCTGATCAGATATCGAACCCCAAACCTTGGCATGTCAGGATAATGCTCTATTCAATTCTGCCACCTGGTCAGAGCCTGGTATATTTGTTTCTAATTGAGAACTGTTTCAAATGTGACCTAAAAATATTGATTTTCTTTATTATTTAAAAATGATCTCTGAATCAAAAGAGAGGTTTTCAAAAGACTTAATGGAGAAAGTGAGTAAAGGGAATAGAAATAACACTGTTCTGTGCTCTTAAGTTTAATTTCTCCTTGTGTTTTAACAAACTATAAGGCCTACATATAGACAATATTTTCATTCAAAAGATTGCCGAAAATGTCATAGATAATAATAAAACTGGAATCTGAAACTCATGCTGTATTACTCTTAAGTGCTCACTTCCAGCCTGATGTGACAAAATGGTTAAAACTTAAATGACAGAATGGTTGAAACTTTAGTAACAAAAAATACCCCACAGAACATTTGAGGCAAAAGGTTTGCCCTGATAAATGGAGGAGGCAGGAGTAATAGTAAGAGTTACATCATGTTGGTATTTAAAATACATGAATTCCATTAGTTCCAACAATAATAGCAAATCTACCTGCTATTTTACTAAATGAGCTTTTGAAGTGAAGTAGGCATGTGATGGAATATGTGAACATATTATTCTCCTGGTTAGTCTCAGTCCATAATGGATCCTTCGTAGGTGTTCAGGAGTTATTTATATTTGACTCGTTTGTTCCAATTTTAGATTTGTTCTTTTTCAACAGGTGAGTAAGAATTAGAAAATGATAAATTTACTTTTTATGATACATACAATGGTTCCTCTTCATGAAGTCATTTATAAACCTACTCATCAGGGCATATGCCCGAGTGAAAGTATAATTTTAATAAGAATTATGAAGTGGAAAACAAAACAAAAATGCTAACTTGCCCTGTTTTCTTCTACTTCTTCCCACTCTTTTGTTTTTTGTTTTCCATTATAGCAAAAGTCTGGAGAAAAGCCTGTCCCAGGTATGGTTCATCTGATATTCTTGTTAAACTTCAAATAAGACAAAACAGCCTGTTTAACTCAGGAACAACTTAGCATATGAGATGAGCTACTGTCATTTAGTCCTCTAGATCAGGGGTGAGGAATCTTTTTCTGTCAAGGGTTATTTGGATTTTTATAACATCATCCAAGTGCCATACAAAATGATCAGCTTTAAAATTAACCTGCTGTATTTGGTCAAACATTTAGTTAACTCACCCCTAATGCCTAATGACCAAATGATTTCTTGGGACTTATATGGCCAGGAGCTATACATTCCCCATCCTTTTTCTAGATTCTCTCATTGTAGTTTGTTATTCCTAACCTTGAGATTTGCTGAACTGCCAAAAGACAGTGCTTTTTGTTGTTGTTGTTGTTGTTTAATATTTATGATTATTGATTTCAGAGAGGAAGGGAGAGGGAGAAAGAGATAGAAACTTTAATGATGAGAGAGAATCATTGATTGGCTGCCTCCTGCACTCCCCACACTGGGGACCAAGCCTGAAACTTGGGCATGTGCCCTGATCGGGAATGGAGCCATGACCTTTTGGATAAAAGGTGGACACTTAGCCACTGAGCCAGGCTGGCCGGGCAAGATGATGCTTTTGTGGTAGTGATGTTAGTATTTAAAAGGTGAATCAGAGTGGGAAGAATAGGAATTGAGGAGCTGTGGAAAAGCTGAGATGATTTGAGGTTTGGGGTTCAGATTCTTCAAATTTTGGTATGAAAAAAGGTCTTCTGGTTCATCATTGAAAAGAGATATTGACCTATTCATTGAACCAGGTGGAATAATCATGTATACTATTTTATTAAATGCCATGTGTTTTTATCTAGTATCACAAATTTGCTTGGGTTATCCGATTTTTAGACTTGTAAATGGATTTTTATACATCTGCCTGATGAAACAAATTTAGAACTTGATACAATGAATTGGTAAGAGTTTGAACCATTCACATTAATGGTTATCTAATTTGATCTCATCCCTTTATTATTCTCTTCCTCCAAAAAATAACTCCTTTTGATGGGTAGTGGATCAGACAAAGAAAGAGGCAGAACCTATACCAGAAACTGTGAAGTCTGATGAGAAGGAGACCACAAAGAACATCCAACAGACAGTGAGCACTAAAGGTCCCCCTGAAAAACGAATGAGACTTCAGTGAGTATTGGACAAGAGAAGCTTGTAAGACTTCTTTTCCATCATTATACCTCATTACTGTGACAGGCTCCTGAACTTTAAAATTCTTTGTCACAACTCTCATTTGTATAAAATGTGCTTGCTCTTTATGCTCTTTAAGAAAGGATATAAGGACCCTCATGCTTTTGTGATGGATATTTGTATGTATTTTTTTGTAACCTTTCCCCTACAGGACTTGAGCAGCCTCCTCACTCACATGTGTACTGCTTATATGTGTTTGAAACCAAATTAAGTATTTGTCTAAATTTCTTTATCATGACTTTTCCCCCTTGTTTCTCTCTCTCAAATATTTCCAGATGCACTTTGTAAACACAAAGGATTAAAGTAGTAAATACAAGATTAGCTTCTTTTTTAGTTGCATATTTCTCAGTATTAAAATAATTCAATTACTTAACAATTTAAATAATAAAAAAAAAATGGAAAAAAACTCACTTGTCTATACCATCACCCTACAAATCCTTTAACAGTTTTGTGAATTTTCTTTGTCTTTATTTTCTGTGCATATTTTAGAAACCAAAACTTGTAATTATTCTGTTCATATAATTTTACTTCAGCACATTATTATGTCTGTTGTAAGCACTTCTCTATGTTGACTACTATTATTTATATTGATGCTCAAATTGTCCCAGATTGGGCCATGAGATCCTCTTCATGCTGATTCCTGTGTCCTTTTGATATGACCCCCTCATTCATTAAGCATTTTCTTTACATTTTGGCACAGTAGTATATTCCATGTTCTTCCCAACCTTGGACTGGAATCAGCCATGTTTCTAAGGTCCTAGTTCTTTTTGGTGGAGAATGCATTTGGAAATCAAGATCTTTGCGCTAGGTGTGTTCATTTGCTATTGTGTCATTGCCTCTTGGCCCTTTCAGCTGACACAGTTAGGAACTAAATATATACTAACATATGAGTGAATACACATATGTTTCCACACATATATCTATGTTTATTAAAAGCCATCAATGCACAGTAATACCACCAATTCCAGTCCATCACCACGGTTCCGGTCAGGGCATATGTTGGGTTGTAGGCTTAAACTCCAGTAGGTGGTGTGCAGGAGGCAGCTGATCAATTATTCTCTCTCATAATTGATGTTTCTATACCTCTCCCTCTTTTTTTCTCTGATATCAATTTAAAAAATATTTTAAAATGCTAATTACTTAGAAGTAATTTTTACCTTAAGTGTAAATTGCAACAAAAGTAGTAAAGCTGAGCCCTTGCTGGTGTGGCTCAGTTGGTTGGAGAGACATCCTGTACACAGAAAGGTTGTGGATTCGATTCTTGGTCAAGGCACATAGCCAGATTTTAGGCTCGATCCCTAGTAGAGGGCTTCAGGAGGCAACCAGTTGATTCTCTTTCATTGTTGATGTTCCTATCACTCTCCCTCTCTCTTCCTCTCTCTGAAATCCATAAAAACTATATTAGCCCTAGCAGGTTTGGCTCAGTGAATAGTGTCGGCCTGCAGACTGAAGGGTCCCGGATTTGATTCCAGTCAAGGACACATGCCCAGGTTGCTAGATGTTCAGTGGGGGGCATGCAGGAGACAGCCTATCAATATCAATGATTTTTTCTCATCATTGGTGGTTCTCTATCTCTCCCTCTCCCTGGCTGAAATTAATAAGATATATTTTTAAAAAAATAAAAACTATATTAAAAAATTATATTGGCTCACTTTTTTTTTTCCTCTCTCTTCAGTGTGGTTACATTACTCATTAGGTTGTTTGGTTGATTTTATTTTGTTCTGAATTTAATTTTAGCCCCCCCCCCCGGATTAATTTCTGTTTTGTTGTATTGTTTGAGGCATGTGAGATGTTAACTTGGTTATAATTGTCAGAACTGTCAAAAAAGATTCTAAGTATTATGCCTTTCATCCTCTTGCTCACTCATTTCTTCTGTCTTTTCCACCTCATTTCCTACCCATCCCCTCAAAAGTAAGCAACTTAATTATTCTCTAGTTTACCTGTACTATATTTATTTTACAAAGTTATATAGGTATATTCTTATTTTCCTTCTTACACAAAAGGCAGCATATTATATAAACTTTTTTACTTTACTTATTTTCCACTTATTTAAGCATGAATTTTTTATATGAAGATATTAACACTTTCTTTGTCATTCTTCCTTCCAAGTGTTTTTCCAGCAAAGTTCCTTTTCTTATAGCTATTGTACATTACTGCAAAAGATCACTTAATAGAAAAGCACACAAAATACTAGAGCACAACTCATTGTACCTGTGTAGCTCAATATGCAGGTAAAGAAATTGAACATTGCTAATACCTCAGAAATTACTTTATGTTCCCTTCTATTTACAATGCTCGTCCCTAATTTTTTGGGGTAATCATTTGTTTCCTTTACATTTTTACTATGTAACAATGTATCCATAAATAAATGTGTTGTTTTTTTTTTGTGGTTTTTTTTGTGTGTGTGTATGTGTGTGTTTTACATATATTTTATTGATTTTACATAGAGAGGAACTGAGAGGGATAGAGAGTTAGAAATGTCGATGAGAGAGAAACATTGACCAGCTGCCTCTTGCACCTCCCCCCAGTGGGGATGTGCCTGCAACCAAGGAATCGAACCTGGGACCTTTTAGTCCACAGGCCGACGCTCTATCCACTGAGCCAAACCAGTTTCGGCAGTGAATAAATGTTTTGATTTCCTATTTTTCTTGTCAAATTTTTATTTTAGTTGTACTCATAGTAGTTTTGAAATTTCAAAATATACAAATCAAAATGTGAGCTTAAAAGAGAATTATTATTTCTATTTCCACTAAGTCTAATGTGTTAAAAAGATTGCTAAGGGCTAGATCTTTAGATAAACTGCAGTCAATGATTAGTGGGTGAGATAATTGCAAAAGATTGAGGAGAAATATAAATCTAGATAGTGTGTGTACCTGGTTTGCTTTGGGAATGTTTTTAAGTCCTCACTGCATTTTAAAGAAACTGAAACCAGAAATCTTAAACAATATTTTAAGGATATGATTTATTAAGAAAGAACAGGTGGGCCCATAGTTAAAGAAAAGTCCTTGGTCCTATATGCAAAGATTGAAAATGAATGTACATATTTTTAAAACTAAAATGAAGTACTTAAAGTATGCTTCAAAGAGCTTTAACCTTTTTCTCATTAACCAACCAATGGACCTAGTTGAGTCAATTAACAGGCTTAGCCTATATAATAATTTTTAATAAAAATGAGTTCATCTATCTATATATATTCAATGGCAGTGACCGTAAGGACCGAAGGCTCCACTGAACACCAGAAGTCAGTCCCACAGTCAGTGCTGGGTTGCCATGGCGACCCAGCACTGACTATCCCGCTGCAGGCATGGTAACCCAACACTGACTGCTGAAGGGGCTGCGGATCAGGCCCAGAGAGAAGCCTGGAGAGAGAAGCAGGGTCTAATCTGTAGTCTCCGTGGCAGCTGTTGATCAGCCTTTGCCCCTCTCTTTTTCTCGACCTGGCCAGCAGCATGCCTCTCTTTCTCTCCGGGCTTCTGTGGGGTCTGCTGATCAGCCCCACCTCTCTGATCAGGCCCGGAGACACTGACTGGCATAGAAACTGACCAATCAGAACAAAATCTCGGTCAACTGTGAGGAGCCAATAGCTGCTAGGAGGTGGAGCGTTTGACACTAATTAGCATAGAAACTGACCAATCAATCAAATCTGGGTGAACTGTGAGGAGCCAATGGCTATCTAGAAGGTGGCCCTTTTGATGTTGACTGGCATAGAAACCAACCAATCAGAACCTAATCTGGGTGAACTGCAAAGGCAGAGCCTAAAGTGGGGGCTGAGGAGGGGTTTTTAAGGCACTTGGGGGCAAAATCAGGCTGGCAGAGGAAGGCAGTTGGGGGCAATATCAGGCTGGCATGGGAGGGCCATTAGGGGTGAGATCAGGCTGACAGAGGAGGGCAGTTGGGGACAACCGGGCTGGTAGGAGAGGGCAGTTGGGGGCAACCAGGCTGGTAGGAGAGGGCAGTTGGGGGCAAGATCAGGCTGGCAGGGGATGTTAATTGGTGGTTAGATCAGACCAGCAGGGGAGGGAAGTTAGGGGCTGTCAGGCAGGCAGTCAGAGTCAGGGGTGATCGGGCAAGCAGGCAGAGGGGTTAGGGGCAATCAGGCAGGCAGGAAGAGGCAGGTAGGGGTGATTAGGCAGGCAGGCAGATGAGTGGTTAGGAGTCAGCGGATCCAGATTGCAAGAAGGATATCCCTGATTGGAGAGGATGTAGGCTGGGCTGAGGGACACCCCTCTCCCCCATGCATGAATTTCATACACTGGGCCACTAGTAATATATAAAATATCAGACTTTATATGTTAGTCTCTATAGTTCACCTTCATTCTTTTTCTCTTGGATGATTAGGCTGGCAGGGGAGGATAATTGGGTGTGAGATCAGACCGGCAGGGGAGGGCAGTTAGGGGTGATCTTTGTGCGTGTTTTCATATGTCTCTTGGCTTTCTGTATGTTCACTTTCAAAAAGTTCACTTACTGGATATAACATTGGCAAATATGTTCTCCCATGCAGTGGGCTTTCTTCTTTTTGATTTCCTATTTTTAAAACATTCTTTTATTTAAGTATTAGAGGTCTGGTGCACGAAATTCGTGCATGAGGAGGCGGGGGGCAGGGGAGGGGAGTGTCCCTCAGCCTAGCCTGCACCCTCTTCAATCTGGGACCCCTTGAGGGATGTCCGACTGCCCATTTAGGCCCAATCCAGGTCTGCTGGCTTCCAACTGCTCACCTGCCTGCCTTCCTGATTGCCCCTAACCGCTTCTGCCTGCCAGCCTGATCACCCCCTTACCATTCCCCTGACAGCCTGATTGATGCCTAACTGATACTCTTTCAGCCTAATTGCCCCTAACTGCCCTCCCCTGCAGGCCTAGTCACCCCTAATTGCCCTCCTCTGCAGGCCTGAATCTCCTAACTGCCTTTCCCTGCAGGCCCGGTTACACCCAACTTCCCTCCTCTCTCGGTCTGGTCACCCCTAACTGCCCCCAACTGCCCTTCCTTGCAAGCCTGATCCCTCCCAACTGCCCTCTCTTGCTGGTCTGATTGCCCCCGATTGCCCTGCCTTGCAGGCCTGGTTCCTCCCTACTGTCCTCTTCCTCTGGCTATCTTGTGGCAGCCATCTTGTGTCCACATGGGGGCAGCCATCTTTGACCACATGGGGACAGCCGTCTTGTGTGTTGGAATGACAGTTAATTTGCATATTACCCTTTTATTAGATAGGATAGAGGCCTGTTGCATGGGTG